CGGTGGTGTCTCGAAGATAGCTAGGAGTACTAGTAGCATAGGGTCTGAGAAGAGAGTCAATATAGCTAGGTAATCCTGTTGTAAGTGTCCCAATGCTTCAGATGATGGGTCATCCAGGATTTCCAGGTTTGTGTTTCTTGGGTAGCTGACAGAAAACTCCTGGTCAGGGTGGCCCGGATGGTATTTTCAGGTAGATTACTAATATTTTGTAGTTTCCTCAGGAAGTCACTGGTGTCTTGAAGGTAGCTAGGAGTGCTGATAGCATAGGGTCTGAGGAGAGAATCAATTTAGCCAGATCATCCATTGTAAATGTGCCAATGCTTGAGATGATGGGTCTTCCAGGATTTCCACGTTTGGGTATCTTGGGTAGTAGATAGAAAATTCCTGGTCAGGGAGGGGCAGGGGTGTTAGTGTAAATTTGGTCCTGCGCAGCATCAGGGAGCTTCATGAACAGTTGTTTCAGAGTTGTTGGGGTTTTGGGGGGGGGGGTTGGTTTTCTTTAGTGGGATCACAAGAAGTTGTCTGGTCATCTCCTGTTCATAACCTGTTCTGTTCATGATGACTACAGCACCCCCTTTGTCAGCTTCTTTGATTATGAGGTTAGAATTGTTTTTGAAGCTGTGTATACCAGTGAGTTCTGCATGACTGAGGTTATATATAATAAATGATATTATTTGCTGACAATGTCAGCTCGAGCACGTTTGTGGAAGCAGTCAATGTAGAAGTCAAGACTCTCATTATGACCTTTAGTAGGGATCCACATACAAGCCTTCCTCTTGTGGGATTTGCAGGGGGAGTTGCAAGGTCAGTGTATTGTACATCAGTGTGTTGGAAATATTCCTTTAGGCGGAGGCAGTGAAAATAGGATTCCAGGTCTCCACAGAACTGAATCATATTCATAGGTGTGGTGGGACAGAATGAGAGTCCTCTAGATAGGACAGATTCCTCTGATGGGCTAAGAGAGCGGTTGGATAGATTGACAATGTTGCTAGGTGTGTTGAAAGTATCAGGAACGAGAGATCCTGAGGCATGTAGGAATTTGGATAGCTTATTGTCGTTTTTCTTCTGAAGGGAGATGAAGTGATCCTTATAAGTGGTTTGTTTCATTTTACTAAAGTCTGGAAAAGATGAAGTGTGTGGAAGCTTGATTTTTTATCACAGTTTCTAATGTTGAAAGCTCTTCCTTGATTTTCTTCTGTTTGTTATATAGAATGCTGATAAGAGTTTCTTTGCGAAAATGTGGCATAATCTCTGGGTGTAATCTGTGGGATATGTAAATTGCAGTGGATTTTTCACCCTCAGTCTCTTAGGTATGATGTTCATCTGTTTGCACTTGGAAAGAAAGATGATGTCTGTTTGGATCTGTGCGAGTTTCGTGGTATAGTTGATGGATTTCCACTCCATATGGCTGAATGCAGTGCCTTGCATGTTCAAAAGCTTCAGAGTGGTAGCCAAGTTAAACTATGTCTAGATTACAGAGCTTTATTGGAAAAAGGTACACAAAATTTGCATATCTTCTTCCATTTTTTTCCCCGGAAGAGGCTTTTCCGATATTTGGCCTGTCTACACTGGGCCAAATTTCAGAAAAACCTCCTCTTCCAGAAGAGCCCTTCTTCCTCGTGGCACGAGGAAGACACAATTTCCAAAAGAGCGTATCTGCTCTTCAACAAAAAATGTCAGAAGAACAGACGTGTTCCCCCCGTTTTACGGGAAAACTCCGTAGTCTAGACATAGCCTTAGTCTGTAACAGGAAAAACTTAAAAAACAGCAAATAGCCTAGTAGCACCTTAAAAACTAACAAAACATGTAGATGGTATAATGAGCTTTTGAGAGCACAATCCACTTATTTAGAGGACAGGAGTATTAGAAAGGAGGAAAAAAAGAGAAAAAAGGAGGGGAGGAAAAAAAAGAGAGACAGTGAGTAAATGGTTCAAATAGTTACAAGAGGCTGATAAGAACAATTGTGTGTGTGCACAAGGCAAATGTATTTGAAGAGTGATTTAAAAAAATAATACTGAGTAAGCTGAAACATCAACAACAAAGGTGAACTTAACAGAAAAATAAGAAATTACATTAGTCTTATCTAGTAAGGATGGTCTAGTAAGAATCAAGAAACCAAAGTCAACATCAATAGTAGGGATATAGAATCCCAGTTAATCAGCTAACCAGTTAAATGTTTAACAGGTTAAACAATTAAGCAGGATCCCATGTGGGGGAGCCAGCATCCCGAAGCACGACAGGACCGGCTTCTGCTCCCAGCTCTCCTGCGCGCAGGGCGGTCAGCTTCTGCTCGCAGCTGCCCTGCGCGTGAGGCAGCCAGCTCTTGATCCTGGCCCCCCACACGCGGGGCAACCAGCTTCCAAACCCTGAGGGGTTGGAGCAGCCCTCCTTCTGCAGCAGGCTGCTCCTGGGTACCAGTTAACCATTAAGGATGAAGCTTACCAGGTAACCAGTTACCCATTCACATTCCTAAATAACAAAAGACTTTATAGCACTTGATAAAGAAATTCAGGGTATGTCTACACTACCCCGCTAGTTCGAACTAGTGGGGTAATGTAGGCATACCGCACTTACAAATGAAGCCCGGGATTTGAATTTCCCGGGCTTCATTTGCATAAGCGGGGCGCCGCCATTTTTAAAACCCCACTCGTTCGAACCCCGTGCAGCGCGGCTACACGGGGCACGAACTAGGTAGCTCGAACTAGGCTTCCTAGTTCGAACTACCGTTACTCCTTGTGAAATGAGGGGAAAGTTTCTGTATCAATCTGCAGGTTTTATGAAAAGGTCTTAAATTGTCAAGGGCTGAATTTGTTGTGAAGCACTGATGTCATTCAGAAACTGTACACAGAAAGGTGTATCCCTTCAACTTTTGGTATTCCCCCGCTCTTGCTTCTCTCACTTGCTGGTGAGACTGTGGCTGGAAGCAGAGGGGCATAAAGCTCTCTTATGCTGATTCTCCACTGGTGTAGGTCCCTTAGGAAACCGAAAGGAACTTCACACCAGTTGGCTGCTCTAATTAGCTAATAGCAGGTATGCAGATCTCTTGATAAAAAGTGCTATTTCTCTAGCCACAGATAGGGAGCCTTATCCCCAAGAAAGGCACTAAGTGGCAAGTAGTATATTAATCTTTTGATTAATGTTTTGATTAACACAGAAAAAATAAAATGTCAGAGAAATTATGAGGTGAGTCTCAGCACAATCTTTTCATGAAAAAACTGGAGGTAAGATTCTTTACAATGTAGTAGCACTCCAGCCTGAAGTAATGGTTACAAGAGCAAGCACCTTCACATCCAGGAAGTAAAAGAACTGATCCAGCACTTGAAATATGGCCTTGAAAGAACTTTACAAATGAAGCTGAAACTCTGTCTACAGTTTACAATAAAAAAGCCAATGGTAGAGAGTCACAGTGTCCAGGTCAACTGACCTGAGGTAGTGGAGCTGAAACTATGATGCTAAAAATTGCAGCTATTTGAGCCTGGGCTGGAGCCTGGCCTCTGAGACCCTTTGGCTGTGTTTTCCCATCTGAGAAACACACTAAGACATCAGAACAGTGTTTCTGAGGAAGAGTTACATTGCTAGCCAAACACCAATGAAACTAATGCTTGAGCACAGAGAATGCTCTCCTGGCAGCATAAGGGAATGAGAGAAATAGTCGAAGTGTTATGAAGTCACTTGACAGCCTACAGCCTTCTAAGCAGAAATGGGTGAGGTTCAGGATGGGGGTAAAGGCACACCGCAGCAGCAGCAGCAGCAGAGGCCAGAGCTTTGGGCGCTTTAAATGGCCACCGGAACCCTAGGCAGTGCCGTTCAGGTGATGCTCAGGTCTTGGTGGGAGAGACTAGCACTCAGCCCCTCTCCCTTCACCCAAGACCCCACCCCTTCTGGGAGACCTAAGATGACCCACATGTACTCATTCACCTTGTCCAGGGTCCTAGCAAGTCTGTCACTAGTCCCACTGCTACAGAAGAACTTTGAGTTAGAGAAAGAGCCAGGGATCTCAGATGAGTATCTGGAAGAGGCTGGAGAACTAAGGCTTTCAGGTTCTAGCAGCAGCTATGAACATAATTTGGTCTGGTCCCCCTAAATCTTCCTGGCAATACCAAGGGGAAATAGACATATACATGCAAGCCCTGACTATGCAAAAAAAGAAAGCCACCTCCTCCCCTAGTTGGAATCCTAGTGTCTGGAGCAAATCATGAGTCTGTTTGGGGAAAAGGGAGGAGGGTGGCTTTGGGTTGATTAAGGTAGAAGACAAAGTTACATCTCTCAGAGTGCGAGTCTTGAATCCTGATACACAGGAGTCTTAGGAACTACTAAACTCCAACCAGCCATCCAGTGATTACTATCAGTAACAAGAGCTTGAACCCCAAAAAAGGAATCCAGTCTTGGAACCTAATTAACAGATTGCTGGGGGAGGGAGGGGGAGGAGAGGAGCCCTGAGTGGTCCATAGCTTTTATATAAACCCAGCAGAGGAACAGGAAGTTGTCCAAAAGTGGGATCCACTCAATTCAGAACCATGTGCTTCCTGTTCCTCTGGTTTGACCTCCTGGGACCCCAACCCAATTTGACTTCTGGCATCTGAGTTAGGAATGTTAAATATCGATTAAATAGTTGATTAACCTCATGAATTCTTATCAGTTATTCAACTAATGTATAGCCCCCGAGGGTACTTTGGCCTCACTTCCAAGGAGCCCCTGCCACTCCACGCTGCTACCTCTGTATCAGAGTTTAAAAAACAGCTCCTCTCATGAATCAGCTGCCTGTCACCCTGCGCTGCTGCCTCTGATACAGAGGCGGTAGCACAGGGTGGCAGCAGCCCCTGTCCAGAGGGCTGGTCTGAGTTCCTGGACCCAGCACGAGCTGGAACTAAGCAAGGCCGTCTGCCTGCCTGGCTCCTAATATACTTTAATGCAGAGCTACAGCAGGGTAGGTCCTGGACCTGGTGCAAGCCGGGACTGAGCCAAGCTGCTAGACAGCCTGCTAAAAAATGTACTGGGGGGGGGCCGGTGGGGGGAGGAATACATGTACTCTATAACATTAACTGATAAGCTTTTGCTTATCGGTCAATCAGCTAATCAACTAGACTATTACATCCCTAATCTGAGTTGTGGTCCTAATATCTGGTTTGTCTCTTATCACTTGGTATTCCAAACCAGCATAACTGACTCCCAATTCATGGTTCTGATCAAGTTTGTCTCCTGCCTTTGACCCCCTGGTATCCTGACCTAGGCTGACTCTTGTTACAGATTCATGGTTCTACCCTCAAATTCGTCTCCTCCTCCTGATCTTGGTATCCTGATCTAAATGACTTGACTCCCATCCCATAACCACTTGGTATGGCCATGACACCTGAAAAAGTCTTGCTGCACCACAATAGATAACAAACACAAGAAATAAGATACTGGGCATAATAATTAAAGATATAAAAGAAAACCATAAAATGAGTTCAAGGGAGACAGATTTTTTTCTGAAGGTGGAAGGGATTGAGGGATATGACAAATGTAGGACGATGAGCTAAAGATCAATCAAAAAACCAGGAAAGGCATCTTAAATATTTTTCTGTTGCTTAAGGTCTTAAGACAATTCATTCTGCAATAGACAAATTTAGGGCCATATTTTGCAGACATTTACTATGAATAGTCCCACTGAATTCAACATAGGGAGTGTTTGCAGGACCAGCTCTTAGTGCAGTATCCTCTATCGATATCTGTTCACGTTCAGTACAACACTCCTTGCAATGTCACAATACACAATTTGGTGTCACAGGGTGGCAATTTTTAAATTAAAATGTTGCTTAACAAAGAACATATTTGACAATCAAAAAGATTTATGAATTTTAAATGTACCTTGTTCTCTTTGTATCTTGTCAGATCTGCTATGCAGTACTCTTTGAATAATTTATCATAGTATTTCTTTGCAAGTCTCTTTTCCCTATAACCAGAAAGATAATATTATTGATTATTCATATGGAACACAGAGTTAGATCAAATAATATAAACCTTAATACATAGTTAGGGTATTAACAGGACAGGAGCACTGCAGTTATGCTTTCTCTAATGAATACAAGTTGTAGTGGTAAAAATAAAACAACATTTAAAAAAAAATAAACAGCTTGATGAGAGTAACTGCCATGAAACTGTTTTAGTTTCCCTTAAAAATATACACTTAAGAATATATTTAAATCACAAACTGGAAGCATAAATTTGAGGTTGTATTCTTTTTAGAGGTTTTGAATAATAGTTTAGTTCTCTCTTCGGAAATGAGCAATAGTTTATTCAGTTATGTGTAATCAGTTCATTTCGACACAGAGTTGTATTACTGTATATTGCAAGCTTTTTTCATTTTTTAAATCTATCAAGAGTTCAAAGCAACAACAGAAAATATGCAAGGTAATTTTTAATGAATTCAGAAAAAAGATAAATACAAAATGATCTAAAAGTCATGTCTTCTTATAGCCCAAGTTACCAATTCATGTCCACTGTATCTTCCTCTTTCCACAGGAATCTATAGTTTTCTCTTACAACATCAAGGTCTGTCTTGTCATTTGCTCTGTGAAAGGGTACATTTCTCTTAAAAAGCACGTCTAGTATTAAAATGAAATCTTACAGTAGCAGAAACAAAATAATCAGATCATACAGAAAATGCTGGTAGTTTAGAATTGCTTGTTTTATTTATTGAGTGGGACATACTGAACATAACAAATATCATAAACTGACTTTTTTCCTAAAAGAATAAAATGCTCCTGGCAGAACAGGAAGAGACTTTGTGCGCTTCCCTGCCCCCAAGCCCTGACTGACTTTGGTTAGGGGGTAGCACGCGAAGTTTCCTCTGCCCTGCCCCCACCCTGCAAGGAATGTGCAGCGCTCCTGGCAGGGCGGGAAAAGACTTCATGCGTTTCCCTGCCCCTAAGCCCTGATTGGCCTGGAGGCAGAAGGGGGAGCACGCAAAGTCACCTCCCACCGGCAGGGGTATGGGCGCCTGGGGAAATCGCTGGAGGGGGCAAAGGTGCTTCCCCACCCCCAGATGAATCATGGTCTGTGGGTGGGGAAGCAGGGAAATATTCTGGCCCTGCCCACTCCGCTTGAGGCACCTCCCCTTCCAATGCAGCCCAGAATCACTTCAATAATTTCTGAAGTGGCCCCCAGCAAAAAATTATTGCCCATCTCTGTTTTAGATGCACCCACCATATGCTATCTTTCAATCCACATAACACATAAATGAGAACTCCCAACTGAATTTCATTTAACTTTTCAGGAATAGATACAAATTGTGCAGTTAAATCTAGACAGCTAACAATTCTCTGCCTCTAATTCAGATATTTACAACTACCATAGTTGGAACAGTCTTACCAAATGGGTTAATCATTTGGTACACAAATAAATCCCTGGTCACAGAATTAAACACAATATTAATAACTTAAGGAGGAGTTACCCACCATATATTTTAGTGTTTTTATGAAACAGTTAAATATGTTTCCTAGTGGTACTTACCCTGAACGTTGGAAGTCCTCCTTTTTTCCACCATAGTATAAAATGTAGTCATTCACAAACTTTTTATGTCTTGCATACTGAATAAAATAAAACTAAGGAATTCATTTTCAGTGTTCTCTCTCACCCCATGGCTGATTTATCTTGTGCCATACTACCACTATCTCAGTTAAGTAAATTATTACAAAACTATCTACAATAAAGTTATTGCCAAAATTAATTTTAGTGGAAAGAAAGTTTAAATGACAACTTGTTAGAACTTCTATAAATTAAATTTTTAATAAAAGTATTTTTGAGCAGAATTCAAGTTTTAAATCCATTAAAATGCCTTACCTTTATAAAAGATGCATGCAATCTATTGCTATTCAAACTAGAGTTCCATGATACTCGAACTTTGGTTTAAAATATATCTATCATTTTTGCCTGATATAAAATTACTAATGAAATGAAACATTTTATGTCCTTTTAAGTGTCAGTTTAAACACAATAACAAACTATGATACTGAAATTTGTTTAGGACCACAGTATCAAGTTGCAGGAAATTATATTTGTGAGTGTTCAGACAACTCTGTCTTACGGATATAATTTGAAACATTTACTTTGATAAAACAAGGAAAACAAAACAATATAAACAATCAAGTTATTCTGGAATAAGCACTTCCACAAATGGAAATAAAACAGTAAAACAATAATATATATAAAAATGTCTCAAACATTTATGGAACCACAGAACTAGAAATACATTATCTTTTTGGCATGATCTCAAGCCACATGTTACACTGAGTTCAATAAGAAATCATTTCTGTCAACCTTCTGCTTGAACTAAAATCATTTAATAGAAAAATGCTGTGCGTGTATTTTCTCCTAGATGTTTCCAAATGCTAATTCCCTCTAACATGTTATTCTTCAAAAATTCAAGAACTAAATTCAAGAATACAGTTGGGGCCTTTATTTAGCAAAGCTACAACAAGCTATATATATCCTAATGAAGCTGACTTATGCCAAGAAACCCCAGATTCTTTGTCACCATTATCAACCTTGATAATACAGGTTGGCCCTCTCTGGTCTGGCACTCAGCAAGGGAATTTATCAGATAAGGGGAGGTTCCCTGCTACCAGCCAACCTGCCCTCCCCGTTGCTGGCCCCAGCCACCACTCCCACCCCGCTGGGTTGCCGTGCTGCTGCGTCCCCAGGCCTGGCTCCGCTCCCTGGGCTGCCACCACTGCTGCATCCCTGGCTCCAGCCCCATTACTGGAAATGCCACAGCTGTCACATCCCTGGCTCTGGCCCAGCTACAGGCAGTCCCCGGGTTACGTACCAGATAGGGACTGTAGGTTTGTTCTTAAGTTGAATTTGTATGTAAGTCGGAACTGGTACATATTGTAGGGGAAACTCTAGCTAAACATTTCTCCAGAGCTCAGTTTTATTCTCCCACACCTCACTTCCCTCAGTCCTTTATTCTCAAGCTGAGGTGTCTGCTGAGAAAAGCCGCTCCGCGTCTCCCTGGTCTGCTGGGGGGAAGCAGCTAGTGCGGGGTTGCCTCACCCCGTTTGTAAGTAGGGATCCAATGTAAGTCGGATCCATGTAACCCGGGGACTGCCTGTATTAGGGCCGTCGCGGCTGCCGCATCCCTGGTCCAAGCTCCACTACCAGGGCCGCCACATCTACGGAATCCCTGGCCCTGCTACTGGGGCTGCCCTACCCTGGTTGCGCTACCAGGGCTCTGGCCCCAGTCCCATCCCCAGCCCCGCTGACTCCAAACCACCAGCCCTCTTGCCACTGGGGCTCCCAGCCACAACTCCCTGGTCCAGAAACATCCGTGGTCCTACAGGTTCACAGATACTGCCGGACCAGAGAGTCCCAGTTTTGGGAGGTCTAACCTATGGTAGCAACTAACTTGCCCTTTCAACAGGAGGAAAAAAATAAGATGGTAGCAGAAGAGAAATTATCCCAGGCAGACAGACTACTTATATAAAGCTTCATGTAAACAACTGAGATAGTAGTACAGCTAACAAATTCTACCATGGCATTTTAAATGCTTGTTTTTACAACCTAAGGCTCATTAGTAACATGCAGATGATTTTAAAGACAAAGATGACATGGCAGGGTTAATTATTTTGGAGGACCACCTAATTGTTATATAAACATAGCTCTCTTAGCTAGTGCTACTGGGTTTTATCTTTTTGGTCAATGGAGTTTCTGGCCTTTAGCCAAGACATCACATAATAAAACATTTATAGCTCAGCCAACTTATACAGCACAAACAAAATACAGGAAATTCCCTGCTCCAAAGCATTCACACTCAGGACAGGAAATGGGTTAACACAGTTCAACTCTGAACATTTCCACCTTACAAACATAATGTATGTGATTTTCCCTTCGTTACGATTTAGGAGAGACAACAGCACAAAGGATGCAGCTGACACACAGATGAAGCAAAACGAAGAAGTTGTAAATGACACAGTTCCATGAGTACTGTAAGTGATGGCATACATAACCATCGAGTAACACATATAAGACTCTAGTCAGACACATATAAGACTCTAGTCAGACATTTGACAGAAAGCAACAGCACAAATTCATCATGTCTCACTTTTCTAATAATGTATATTAGCAGTTCTCAAACTTTGGGTCAGGAGCCCAAAGCACGCTGTGAGTGACCCCATTTTAATGGGAGTCCCAGCTGGTAGCCAGGGCCACAATTGCTGCTCTGGGTGCTTCAGAAGCCTAGCCGGGGTGGGGGAAGTGGCTGGGAGGCCCCCTGCGCAATCACAGGCTCCTAGCGCCGATCGTGGCCCTGCCTTCCAGCCGCTCCCCGCACCCATGCCAGACTTCCGTCTGGGGCGCAACTGGAAAAATCAGAGAATACCGGACATTGCATATGTCCGGTATTCTCTGATTTTTTTACTGGACAAAGAGCGCAAATACCGGACTGTCCGGTAGAATACTGAACACCTGGCAACCCTAGCTGACCAGTGAGAGTCAATGCAGCTCCAGCAGGAAATAAACCAGCTGCTGATGAGCCAGGCAGCACAGGATCGAGCAACCCTGCAAGAGCTAGTGAACCAGTTAAAGGCCCTGGCCATCCAGATGCATAGTCAAGATGGGACCTGGCCATTACGTGCCAGTTGTTTCTTACAAAAGATGACGGGGGACAATTATTTGGCCTTTTAAAGGACAGCCTTGTGGGAAGCTTGGCCCCAAGATCAGTAGGTCAGCATTTTAGTCCCCTTCCTGAGTGGGGAAGCCCAGAAGATACATTTCAACATGACGGAGGAAGCAGCTTCCGATTACTCCCAGTTGAAAGCTGAGATTCTGGCACGGGCAGGGGTCACAGCAGCTGTAAGAGCTCAAAAGTTCCACAAATGGAAATATTGAGATGACAGAGCACCCATTTATTTGACCTGATCCATCTGGCCCAAAGGTGGCTGCGGCCTGAGACCCACAGCCCAGAGAAGATCATTGTCTTCAACAGGTACATGAGGGGGTTACCATCAGACCTGCGTGAATGGACAGCCAGAATGACCCCTCTACATTTGATGATTTGGCCCTCGTAAAGAGGCAGTTGACAGCTGAAGAACTTACCCAGATCCTCAAGGAGGAGGTGCGTGGAATAAGAGGCCCGCCCCAACCTCAAGGGTCTGCGCTCCTAAAGACTTGGACTGAGCTTGGACAGAGAGAAAGGAGGCTGAAGAGCGGCTGGACGTTGCAAAGGAACTTGGGGGCTGAGGGAGAGATGGCCAGGGAGTGAGGCCCAACAGCCCAAAGAATAGGGGGTGTCCCACGCAGGGTACAGGTGTTACACCTGCGGGAGAGTAGGGCATATAGCCCTAAGATAGGCTCAATGGCCTAATATAGAACAGACTATGCAATGTGACCTAGAGAACATGTCAAACCCCCTGGCTATGTCTATACTCACGGCTTCTTGCACGAGAAATATGAAAATGAGACTAAGCGTAGAATATCGCCGAGCCTTATTTGCATACCTAATGAGCCATCATTTTTGCGGAAGAGGCTCTTGTGCCAGAAGGAGCTGTCTACACTGCCTTCTTCTTGCGCAAGAAAAACCCTCTTGCGCAATGCCATTAGTCTTGAAAATGCTGTTATTCCTGAAAATTCAGTGAAAATGAATGGTGTGGAAACCACCGCATTAGTGGATACTGGGAGTGCAGTTATGTTGGTCTCAGGGAAGCTAGTGTGGTGGGACCAGTTGTCCCAAGCCAAGCGCACCGGGATATCTTGTGTATATGGGACGTTAATTATTACCCCACCATCCCTGTGAAGATAGATGTTCAAGGAAGTATCACAAGCATGACTCTGGGGATGGTCCTGAGGCTCCCCTATTCGGTTGTCATAGGACGGGACTTCTCTGGGTTTAACAACCTGCTACCACTGGATCAAGCAGAGGAAGGTAGCTCTCTCCCGACCTTCCATGAATTTTCCCAGGACCTGTTCTCTGTGCCAGGGAAACTCTGGAAGACAAAGCGGGAGAGGAGTGCAGCTAAGAGTATGGGGACAAGAATCTTGGCCCAAAATCTGAAGCAGGTACTTGCAGTGGGAAAAGCTGGTCCGACTACTCAGAGAGTAACCCAGGAAGTAGATGAATCAGAAGCAGGACCCACCTCTTCAGGGAAGGGAACAGAGGTAGGTCCCCTTGAGCTTGGACATGTTGGACCCTCAGGGGAGACCTTTGGGCAGGATCAAGCCAATGACCTGGTTTATCAAAATGTCCATAAGAACATGGTTGATCGGGTCCCATTGGAGGGAAGAAGCAAAGGTACTGGGCCCTATTATATAATTAAGGAGGACCTGTTATATAGACTAGCCCATATACAGGAACAAAAGGTGGAACAATTCTTGGTGCCTCAAAAGCTCCAAAGGGCAGTACTGGATTTAGCTCATAGTCATTTGTTTGGGGGGGGTGGGGCATCTGGGGATAGAAAGAATCCTGGACCGGATTCTATGGAGGTTGTTTTGGCCAGGGATCTACATGGAAGTCTGGAGTTATTGAGCCTCCTGCCCTGAATGTCAGTTACATGGGACCCAACCGCACCTGAGAGCCCCACTGATACCCCTACAAATCACTGAAGTCCCCTTTGAGATTATTGCCATGGACATAATTGTCCCACTGGAGAAGTCCGTGCGGGGCCATCAGAGAATTCTAGTTGTTGTGGTCTACGCCACCCAGCACCCAAAGGCAGTGTCATTACACAATACCCTGTCCAAAACAAAAGCTACAGAGCTCATTCAAATTTTCTCTAGGGCATGAATACCCAAAGAAATCCTAACACATCAAAGAACACCCTTTGCGTCCAAGTTAATGAAGGACTTGTGTACAATGCTCCACATATGGATCCTAAGGATGTCGGTCTATGATTCCCAAACCATCAGTCTCATTGAATGGTTTAATATGTCTCTGAAAAATCTGATAAAGAAAGTGGTAAGCCGGGTCAAAAAGACTGCCATATCTCATGTTTGCCGTATGGGAAGTCCCTCAGGCTTCTACTGGGTTCTCTCCCTTTGAGCTATTGTTTGGGGGTAACCTACAGGATATTCTGGACCTTGCCAAAGAGGCTTGGGAGGAACAGCCAAATCCAGGGAGAAACATCACTGATCATGTGCTCCAGATGAGGGACAGGATAGCCACAGTCACCCCCATAGAGCAGGAACATTTAGGGAAGACACAGGAGACCCAACCAGCCTATTACAATCATCAAGCAACAACCCAGAAGTTCCAAGTGGGAGACTTGGTGATGGTGTTGGAGCCAACAGCAAAGAGTCAGCTTCTGGCCAGGTGGCAGGGCCATATGAAGTGATATAAGCCATTGGGGAGGTGGATGACAAGGTTCATCAGCCTGACCAGAGGCAGCCGGAACAAATATATCATGTCAACCTATTAAAACCCTGGTGAGACAGAGAAGTACAATTGGTTGTTCTGGGAGCACCACCCCAAGAGGAAAACCAGCAATGGCAAGTGGGAATATGCTCTGAGTTGACCCGGACCAACGAGCAGAAGTGACTGGCATGATTGAGACAAATTACGATGTATTTCTGCAAAGCCTGGTAGAACTACTGAAGTTTACCATGACATCATCACCAATCCAGGAGTGAAGGTGAAAATTAAGCCATACCGAATCCCTGAGGCAAAGTGAGGGGAGATCCAAGTTGAGGTTAAGAAAATGCTATAACTCGGAGTCATTGAGGGGTCACATAGCCAGTGGTCCAGTCCTATTGGTTTGGTGCCCAAGTCTGATGGAAACCTACAATTTTGCAATTACTTCCAAAAGCTGAACAAGTTGTCCAAGATTGATGGACAATCAATTGATAGACGAACTCCTCGACCAACTGGGAATGGCCCAGTTTCTGTCCACCCTTGACTTGACCAAGGGCTACTGGCAAATCCCTCTGGCCCCAAGAGCCAAAGAAAAGATGGTCTTTTCAACTCCAGAGGGTCTCTCCCAGTATATAGTTCTCTCTTTCAGCCTACATGGGGTCCCTACAACATTCCAAAGGCTCGTGGACAAACTATTATGCCCACATGACAAGTATGTGGCAGCGTATCTTGATGATGATGTTATCCACACCCCAGATTGGGATACACACCTAGAGAAAGTGGAGGTTGTGTTGGATATCCTAAGGAGAGCTGGGTTTACGGCAATCCCCACTAAGCGTGCAATCGAGCTAGCCGAAACTAAATACTTTGGGAATATTGTGGGAAGGGATGTAGTGAAGCCCCAATTCAACAAAGTAGAAGCAATACAAAATTGGCCCTTGCCAGCCAGAAAGAAGCAGGTCAGGGCATTCCTTGGACTGGTTGGATATTACTGCAGGTTTATTCCCCACTTCACTTCCAGGGCATATCCCCTGACCAACCTGACTAGAGCCTACAGCCCAAACATTGTAAAATGGATTACTGAGGCAGAAGAAGCTTTTACTGATCTGAAGCCCCTGACTTTAAAAAGGAGTTTATCTTGAAGACAAGTGTCTTAGAGCAGGGTTGGGGGGAGGGGGGGTTGTTGTCACAAATGGTCAGGGAGGAAAAACATCCAGTCTTGTATCTCAATAGGAAGCTCCTGCCAAGGGAACAAAACTGTGCTGTGGTGGAGAGGGAGTGCCTAGCAGTAAATTGGGCCATGGGAAAAACTATGCTACTACCTCCTAAGGCAAAAGTTTACCCTTGTCATTGACCATGTACCCCTGCAGAGGATGCACGGAAACAAGGACAGGAATGCAAGAATAACCAGGTGGTTCCTGTCCCTGCAGCCCTTCCACTTCCGTGTGCAACACAGATCAGGAGTCCAGGACAGGAATGCAGTTGGCTTGTTGAGGGTACACCTTTTTCCGGCTCAAGTAGCCCAACCCCATGGTGTTGAGCAGGGGAGGGGATGTGTGGCAGCATCAGGCCAGAGGACTGCTACAGAATGGGCCTATTTGAAATCATGGGATGGTGGGCGGGCGGAGCCCGCCCACCTTCTAAAAGCCCCTCCCCAAACTTATGGGAGGGACACTGGACCCATGTTCAACTGATTGCTTGGGACAAATAATGACTAAAGGGTCAAGAAGTGCGGGCTAGAGGATCAAAATAAGGGAGCCGGATGGGGACACCGAGCAGAGAACCCCGGACAGCACCCACTGCTCCTCAAAGCTGTCGATGGAGCCAGTGGACGCCGCCCAGAGGAACTCTGCCCGGATTCGTGACACAAGGAAGGAGCGGAAATAGGCCCCACAGAATGGGAGAAAGGCAACCCAAAAAGGGTAAAAGGTCTGCAGCATAGAAGCAGAGGGGGCAGGACAATTAGAAGAAGCTGATAGGGAGCTGACCCAGGCAGATTGGGGCCAGCTGACTCCACTTCAGGTCTACTGGAGGCCTTTAAAAGCCTCCCCAGTTGGAAGGTGGGAAGGAGAGGTAGAGGAGAAACAGAGAGCAAGAAAGCAAGTGTTTGAAAGTAAACCCTAACAGCTTTAGAGCAGAAACAGCAGGGGAGGGAATCCCAGAAGGAGTGGCTGGGCTTCCTACCCCAGAAACCAGCTGCAAACCACAACCCTGGAGAAGGGGGCAAGCTGCTAGCCAAAGCAATGGCTTGGGAAAGAGGGGCCCTTGCCACACTACAATATAGTAATAAAAGGGGCTCCCAATTCCATCAAAATATAAAAACAATGTGTAAATATGCCTTTGGTTCATGGCACTGTCTGTACTCAGATTTTTGTGAGAGACATGACAAAGTAAGAACAATTCTTAAAAATGAAGACCTAGCTGTGCTTTAGAGAAAGTTAATGATAAGGCCAAAATCCACTCAGAGAAGCTAAAGAATAAGTCTGAGTAAAGAAGCACAAATGACAATTTCTCTCTATTGCAACAAAATGTGGCATCGCCAAATGCTTCCATGTTCCACAAGTGGATTGCCACAAGTTCACAAAATATACCCATATGAATCCCAACACAACTTAAAAAATAGAAATTATACTGTTTCCAAATAATGTATAATCATGGCTATATCAGGTAGAAAATTAATTCACTTCAGCTACCAAGATACTAGATAGACGCTAAGCTCTTACACAGGACTATTTGAATTACATCATGCATCATGGCAAGACTTTGGTCATTGTGACAGTCTGTACATTGACTCTAGTGCAATCAAAATGCCTTGAACTAACACCATACATGTAACAATTTAGTCTGAGATATGGAACATGGAGTTACAGCTTAAATACTAAGCATAACTAGGGAAGTTAGGCAGATCTCAAATACCTAGTTATCACTGGTGGACAGATGATCTGAAACAATGCTTAGTATCCACTGATGCACAGATCTTCCCCAGGCAACAAGCAGACTCCCCTGAATGTATCCCCGACAGGAACATGTCTCCCCAAATGAAAGAAAAGTTGAAAAGCCGACAATGAGAATGTATCAAAGGATACAGCATCCATGGCTATCAAATGAAATCTCCTATTTCTTGCTTCTTCCCTATTAAAAAATAAAAATGTTTGAGTAACAGTTCAGTTTAAATACAAAAATCTCTGATAAAACTGACTCTTACCTATCCAATTCTTCTGCTGCAATTTGTCTGTGAGCCACCTTGACCTGTTTTGCTTTCTGGAATGGTTTTGTGAGTAGGGCATCTTCATTACTAGGGAAAAAAGCGAGGAATTAATCATTCAAAAAATTTTCACATGCAATATGTTCTAGAACGCTAAAGTCATCTTGGGAAGTCAGCAGCTTAAATGCTATAAGGCAGGGGAACACAAACTGATTTTCATTGGCATGCGAGGCAGGAACTCAGCCCAACCCCTCCTCCCCTGTGCAGCCAGGAGCCTATACCATTGTTCCCTCAACATGCGAGCCCACACGGTGATACACAAAAAATCCTAATCTAAAACTGCCCACCTATGCAGCAGCACTCACTTTCCTCCTGCTTCTGGAAGGGGAGTGTCATGGCTGCACCTGTCGGCAGGGATGGGAATGTAGATGGCCTGGGGCCACGTTGGGGAATGGTTGCTCAGGCAGCTGCTCTTGCAGCTAAGGCCACGTTGGGGGCTGAGGCTGCATTATGGGGCAGCTGCCTCTGGCATTTCAGGCCTAGAACACATGGTGGGTGGGCTGCTGCCACGTCATGTTGAAGCCGTGGCCAGTCAGGTTGAGGACCAGAGGTGTTGAAAACTTGGGCATGAGGGTTGCTGCCAGGACAGTGTTGAAGCCATTGCCAGACAGGCTGGGAACTGGGGGTGTTGAAGCTTCAGCCAGATGGGTTGCTGCCAGAGGGCTGAAGCTGAGGGTGGGTTGCTGCCGGGGAAGAGGGGAGGGCGAGAGGGAGGAGGAGTTTGAAGGCCAGTCAGGTTGAGGACCAGAGGTGTTGAAAACTTGGGCATGAGGGTTGCTGCCAGGACAGTGTTGAAGCCATTGCCAGACAGGCTGGGAACTGGGGGTGTTGAAGCTTCAGCCAGATGGGTTGCTGCCAGAGGGCTGAAGCTGAGGGTGGGTTGCTGCCGGGGAAGAGGGGAGGGCGAGAGGGAGGAGGAGTTTGAAGGGACAGA